CTGGCCTGTAGAGTTTCCTGTGAGAGATCTCTTATGTGTTTAATTGACATTCCTTTATATGCCAATTGATTTATTTCACGTGCACATTTAAGGATCATTTCCTTATGTTCAATTGAAGAGAGCTTGATTTGCCACGTGTTGTGGTGAAGATCGCATTTGGTCCACACTGTTGGGAGTTCTGTGCCCTTCCTGGATGTTGTTTCCCAATTCATTCTCTAGATTAGGGAAAATTTCCCTTATTATTCTTTTCTTGTGTGCGTGTGGGGGTAAGACTATTATTTTTTCCATATTGTTTCCTTCATTTTTACAGGGGGGTATTAAGGGAGAAGGCCCACCCAATCTCCCACCCGCCCCAGGTCCCGCGGGGCAAACAGAGACTCTATGATGGACTATGTCAATCAGTGGATTCTTCGAGGACCTCATAGTGCTTGGAGTGGCTAGATTGGCAGCGATTCATAACTGTTGAAATATCAAAACCACTTGAGCAAGAACCTCAGAGCATTCCCTTATTATTTCATTAGGTACATTTTAAACCCAGCTTCTCTTTCTGTGCCTTCTGCGACTCCCATAACTCTTATATTTGGCCTTTTAATAGTGTCTTTCAATTCTTGAATACTTTTTTTGGCAGCTCTGCTTTTTTGTCCTGCTCTGCTTCCAACATTTTGTTTGTTTCCCCCTAGTGACAGGAAATATCTTCTAGTTTTGAGATTATTTCTTCTGCATTCTTCATCCTATTTTGGAGATGCTCCACTGTACTTTTAATTTGCTCCATTGTATTCTTCAATTTTGATATATCAGCTTTCATTTGATTCATTTCCAGTGTGACATATTCCTTAAATTCCTTGAAGGCCTGCTTTACATGCTTCTTGCTGTTGATGAGAAGTTTTACAACAAGTGTTTTAAATTCTGCATCCTCCATTTTCTCAATGTCTTCCTCAGTTAATTCTGAGGTTGACAAGGGCTTTTGCTCCTATGCAGGGAAGTCTTCAGTAATATTCATTGTGCCTTTATCTCTTCTTTTGCTTGTAGCCATTGTACTTGTGGTTATGATTCTTCTCCTTGGGGCAGGTTTCTAAGCTGGGTCACCCACAGGTCTACAGTTTGATTTTACTTATTGCAGTTGGTACACGGCTCTTGGTTTGCAGTCAGTTGTGTCCCTCCCTCCAGTGGCGTTCCAGGTCTGGGTTCTTACGTTAGATTTCCACCATGGTCTCTGTAGCCCATACTCACCAGTCTCCACCTCCTGTGATACCATGCTGAGGCTGCACCATGTTTTGTACAACCTTTCTCCTACTTCCAGTTGGAGCAGGTCCCAGTATTAGGGAGACACCAGATGTCCTATATAGCTAGGTTGTTGGTGGTGCTTAGGTTTCCCAACCATCAGAGATACACAAATGTAAAGCATGTTGAGGTACCACCAAACTCCAGTGAGACTGGTCTATATTCAGAACTCAAGTAACAGCACCTGCTGACGTGAATGTGGGGAGAAAGGCACCCTCGTTCACTGCTGGTGTAGACCAGTACAACCGCCGTGGAAATCAGTTTGGAGAGTTCTTGGAGAATTGTAAAAGTTAACTTTTCATCTTCAGGGTATAGAGGCCTCATGGCTTTGAGGAAGCACGTTGTTCAGAAGATCCTGATAGGATTATTGGTTGAGATTCCAGTACAGCAAGGATGGTGACAGAGACCAAAGGTATTTGTCTTGGAACCCGAAATTTGAGGAATGAAGCAGGAACACCAACTACTTTGCATTCCTTTTCCTTCAACGGTAGCCCTGAAGGACTTTGTCCTTTTGCTCCCGTTCCTCTGATTTCCATGTTTTGCAAAAAGTGTTTCTTTATTTGTCCATTAATCCAATCAGCAATCTCATAAATTTTCAGCTAAGTTCATTTGGGAGGCTAAACAAGATTTATTTGTATTTATTTGTGTTGCTTATAGAAAAGCAAATTTATATCATCTATAACTATACAATTGACTGAAGACATGCAAATAAAAATGACAAGGGTATATTTCCATCAATCACACCGGACAAAAATAGAACTTATTAAAGCCAATGTGAGGGTGCAGTGGGAAACCAGCCTTTTATAGCGCTTCTGGGGTTGGAGTTTAAGACGCACTTTATGGCTGGCTACTGGTCAGCAATTAATACAGATAAAATTGAAAATATTTCAACCAGCTGTTGCACATATAGCAAATCATTCTTTGGAAATATTTATTAATATTCTGGAAGTTAAAAATTATTACCATTCAGATGTTATGCATGTCACAGGTACAATTCCAAGGAGGCAGCCGCACTCCCCTCACCCACTGCTGCTTCCCAATCCCCGCTTCCCACTCCCTTCTTCTGATCCGCTTTCGCTAAGACATAGTTTGACTCCAGTTTATATCTATGGTCTTAATTTAACAATCACACACATTTAACATATTTGATAGTAACTGAAATCAGGCAATCTGATACTCAGAAAACTTCGTTATTTGGAAAGACCATCATGCAGCTCTTAGAGATAACAGAATTGAACAACAAAAATAAAGTGCTGCCTTTTGATCTTAAAATGAAAATGGCAGAGAAATATTACTCTGCATTCTAATTTACATAAACCTATCCAGTGGATATATGCATGTGTGATAGACGGATGACAGAAAATTCGTGCGTGTGTATATATTAGATCAGTTGGGGAGATACACTGAAATAGGGGTACTCTACATCTCTGCAAGAAGTGACACTGTTTGACATGGGGTCTTTAAGTTCCTATAGCAGTATTTGTTTTAGCGTGAACTTTTATGACAAGAGACAGATAGACAAGCTATCAAAATTGTGTTTCTGTATCTATGTAGATAGGGGAGGATTATCACCTCCAATTGCATCTATTTTGTGAAATAAGACACAGAACTTTCATGCTTTTTGTATGTGGAATTTAACACATTGAGAGTATAAAATTCTGTCAGTGTCATTTTATTTCTTATAGAAGTAGTCATAAATATTGTGATCTATGTATATATTATATAGTTTTGCATATTGTATACCTTTATACAATATAGTAATGTTGTCACATTGTACCATCTACATCGAAACATGTACCTTTCTTTTCTCGCTTAATCAGGCTTGTCATGAATCCCACATTATGAAATGCCAATATCCCTGTTTTCAAGGAAATTAGATATTATATCACATTGTATCTAAAGATGAAATGAAAGGGAGAACATTTTAAATCTTAAAACCAATTGTAAAATTGCTCCTAGGAAGTCAAAGTAAAAAAGGAAATACCACACTGTCCCTATAAATATTTACAATGCTTCTAAATAAATACTTTTAATTAAAGGTGGAATACTGAGAGGAAACAAGCAGCACACTTTTAAAGTATAAAACAAAAACAAAATGAGAAATCAGAGCCCAAATCAGTGTTATTGCTGTGTATTCACATTCAACCTCAAATTACTCATGAGTCATTAGTTATTAATTATTAAGTAGCATTAACAAAACAATATTGATGAACGGTGACCTTGATTGCGGATATACCAGGTGGAAGCACATTACTCTATGTTTCACAGGCATTGGTCTATTTAACTTCACCCTGTCCTATGAGGCAATGACTTTTGAAGCTACAAAGAAGGTACAGAGATGTTACGCTATCAAGCTGACACTAAGAGACTTACTGGTTTAACTATCAAGTTAGGATACATTTTTGCTGTACTGGGAGTAGTGGACCTGCAGCTGTTCTGAAATGCCTAAACTTTCCAACCTCAAACGTGTTACTCCCACAGGCTGAGAGCTCCACCTTTGAAGTCCGCAGCATGGTAAGGGGGTGAAAGGAGCCCTCAAGCTGAGTTCCGTGTCCCCTTTAGACTACACGTGGCCTTGGCTTCAACTGCACCCGACTTCCTGTGTGGGGCTCACCCAGCAATTAGGCCAACAGTGCTCCTGTGACTCTGAAGCTCAAAGCCAACCAAGGCAGGCGTCTGAGAAAAGCTGCTGCAGGGAGCCTGTCTTCTGCAGCAAGAAGCTTCTACTGCCCACTGCTTGACTGTTGGAAATTCAGACCTGGCAGCAGGTGGCCAGGGAGTAGGAGAATGGGATGAAATGAACTGGGCTAAGTAAATGTATTGTATGAATATGTGTTTAACAGATGGTACAAAGACATAGATTTTATGCTGACCGTTTTTTAAAAATTGTTAATAACATTGTATTATGTGATACAGTTTTATAGGTGCTTGGATTTCCCCCGCTCCTCCCACAACCCTCCCCCCATGGTAGATTGCTCCACCTTGCTGCATAACCACAGTCCAAGTTCAGTTGAGATTCCTTCATTGCAAGCACATACCCAGCATTGAGTCCAGCTGCTGAACTGAGTAAAAATTCTATATTGTTTCTAATTACTAAAAATGATCAGTCATACTCATTGTAAATTATGCTTGTTATTTAAGGAAGCAATGCAGAAAGCTTTTAGAAATTACTCTCAGTGCATGTCACCTCTTATTGATTGTCATGTCCCTGGAGAGAAAGGAAGTACAGACCACAATGAACGGCCGTGTGTTTCAGTGCCCGTTTATATGGCTTATATTTGCCAAGTTCTATTTCAGTACATTTTACCTATTCACAATAAGGTCTGAACGTGGCCCTCACTATGTAAGAAGTAAATGAAAAAAAAAAAACATATAATGATTTCTATACCTTGTCAGCTAGATTTCTCTTTACTTTGCAGCAGATCTATATTTTAGATCAAGTAAAATTTATTGTGAGTGATTGTGTGTGTGTGTGTGTGTGTGTGTGCCCATGTGCGTATGTTTTCCAATTTTTGCAAACTCTGCTTGGAATGAGATGTTAGCTATCCGGAAAGACAGCATCTGCATTAGTTTCTCATATGTTGTTGATATTTAATGTATTGTATATGCTCATCTGGCTGCTGTATTAAAATAAGATGATTTCTAAATATGTCAGACCGCTAGTTTAATTAGGCATTATTAAGTGAGTCCATCGTAATAATGTTTAGTCTTGGACTTACCCTGGCATTGGTCCATTTCCAGAAAGACTGTATACCTGACGAGGATTTAGTAGATACTGAAATTTCCTATAAATTCTATGAAGATAAAAATAGGGACAATTAGGAAACTTAGTGACATCCGGTATTTTTCAAATAGTTGCATTTCCTTACTTCTATAATGATGAGGGTATTTTTAAAAAAATTCATGGATAAAAGGAATGAAAAAGTAAGTGTACTTTAGTGTCAACAACTTTTGAAATTCATGCATGTTTTTAGGCATTTAACAGTTTAACAGCAACAAATGGTTTCTTTGTGCAAAAAAAAAAATTAACAGCAAATATGGCTTATATGCTAGAAATAACACTTGCATTCAAAATACGCATACTTTTAAAATATATTCTCTGATCTCCTTTTTGAACATTACTGAATTAGCCACTTATATGTTAAATAAGTATTTAAAAAAATATTTTGGTGCAAAATTGATTAAGTAAGGTCTTTCAATAGATCCTTGCAAATAGGTCCTACTTTCTGTAGAACTCAACACTGCATTGTTTGGACAGATGGTGGAAATGATCTCTCCCATGTACAGTTGTACATTTCACATGGTGAATGCAGCCCCAGCTAGTCTAATTAGTTTACATTTACCACTATCTGGAGCAATCCGTTCATAAAACTCTTAAAGTGCCCCAATAGGCACATATTAAACATGGCTTTTGGAAAGAAATCGATCTTTGTAGTACAAACGCGGTGGGAATGTACCTAAGGAAACATGATCCCATGCGGTAGGACTTGTCTGACAAAATGCAAAAATGGAAAGGGTTATACTTAACTTACGAAATTAGCTGGTATATACATATAAGATGTTAATATAGATTCATAAACACCTAAGTATTACACCTGCTGGTGGTGATTCTCTACATCCACCCTTCACTAGCTGCCTATACTTCACCTCCAAGTCTGCAGTAAATCCCACTCTTGTTTTATTGTATTTTAGGCTAATTCTCAGTACCTACTTTTCCCTGGCACTTCCAACTCATTGTTGGACAGGCTTTGTACTAATCAATGCCTGTCCACCCTGGGAATTGTATCCCACTGCCTCACCACAGGAATGTATACCCTTGCCAGCCCTCTCTATGAAACCTTGGCCAGTCCAGCCATTTCCCCTCCTCCTACTAAAGTACAGTCGCACTGTACTATGACAAAAAGTTCCTTTGGATGTCAAGCTGCTCACATTATAAAATTTACGTATCTTTTCAATAACACCACAGTTTATCTCTCATCATTTGCCTCTTTCCCCTGAACTTGAACCTTGAAAAATTCCTCCAGGTTGACACCAGGCCAGTTCTTTAATTTGTCCTCTCTCTTTCATGTGGCCAGCATCTACTTTTTATCAGAACCAATGCAACAGTCCAAAGCTACATGTCTGAAGACAGCGCAGCCTTCATCGGTGGCTGCTTCCTCATCACCTTCGGTTTAACTTTTACTGTACAATATTGCACCACATCTGTTTACACGCCTGCCTCCCTGTATGTCTGCGTTCTACATCCTATATCTTCATGTCTAGAAACGTGTGTTAGACCAGGAAGCTGCCGTCTGAGTGAATGACACATGGACACTTTCACAGATGTTAATAGATATGGAGAATTTTGCTTTGGATATACGATTTTATATCCCTCCCCAACCCCCCAAACCTCCAGCCTATAAAGGCAAACAAAGAGCAAAGGCAATGGGAAGGATCACATTGAATTCTACCATGTGTGGGTGGCATATGCAGGAAGAACACATGAATTCTACCATGTGTGGATGGTATATGCAGGAAGATCACATGAATTCTACCATGTGTGGATGGTATATGCAGGAAGAACACATGAATTCTACCATGTGTGGATGGTATATGCAGGAAGAACACATGAATTCTACCATGTGTGGGTGGCATATGCAGGAAGAACACATGAATTCTACCATGTGTGGGTGGTATATGCAGGAAGATACATGTCCACACTCATAATAGAATTTCATTCGAACATATTTACATTTCACTTGATTTTGATTCATTCCAATCTGTGTACAATGAACAAAAACCAAGGGGTTGAGTATATCTGAGTATTCCAAGCTGTGCTCTCTGCCCACCAAGCTTAATTTCCTTCTGAGTTTACTTATATGTGTGAACATTGAGGAGAACATTTTAATCATTTCTAAGTTTATCTTTTTTTGTGTACTTGAGACAGAAAACAAAGACCATGTTAAAGAACATACCGTTCTCCTTGCTTCCCACCACTTTTGGGGTTCACAAAAACCAAAAGCGGATGAGTACCCGGAACAGGAGTGATCTGGAAGGAAAGTTGAATACATGGACAGCTTATTAGGCATGCTTTGCATGAAGAGGACCCCTTGTCATCATCTCTATGCATAAAATAGCACTGACAAATTTTAGAATGTGCCTTTTCTTTCTGTGAGAACTGCCAATAGCTCTCTGCGAATAGACACAGGATTAGAAAGGAGTAGAGCAAGAGGGGTAACGTTTGTCATAATTTGGGGATTTAAAAAAAAAAGGTTATGATTTGTGAGACAGTGAGTAAGTCATCCACTTGCAAACATCATTGGAAGGGAAAAGACCAGGTGCAAAGAAAGATAAAACAATAGATTTCACATTGGCTCCTCAACTTGGAGCTTTAGGGTGTGTGTGGCATACATCTAGAAGGTAACATGAGGTCCCTTGCACCTGAGAGTCCCTCTCAACACAACATTCCATGGACACTTTCAATGTCTGTGGAGTAGAGTGCCAGGTAACCCTGTCCATGCTTTCAGTAGATATTGGCTTCACTTTTACTTAATGAGAGTGGACTCTGCCCATGCTATGGGTAATCGGTTGCTTTCGTCCCTACTGACTTTTCTGTGAAACAAGGCATACAAACGGCCTATCCTGATAATACGTATATCCTTATGGAGAAATGTACCCCTTAATGAAGAAATTTGCAGCTATTAATTTAGTACCTCCACATTAGCTAAATAAGGGGGTCAAGAAAGTGTTAGTATTTCAACTTGGCTTCTCCTAGTTCTCATTAAAGACTGTCATTGTGCTGCCTCCGAATTACTTTCTTCTGTAAAGAACACCATGGCTCTTTGTGCCTAGTTTGTATCCAACTGAGCTGGGATAACTTCTGCGCAAGCTTCCCCATTCTCCCTTGAACCAAAGCTCACAATCAATGGATACATGGAAGGTGCCTACTAGTTTATATCCATTCTAGGACTCCTAGATTGTGATGTACGCTGTTTGTCCTTTGCAGACTAAAATGAGGGCTCAGGTTTGTGACCACAGCATGTGAAGCAGGCATACCATGTGAGCACCTGCCTGAGACCTCTGTCCTGATTCTAATCTAGTTCCCTGCTAATGCCCCTGGCAGAGCAGAAGATGGCTCATGCATCTTGGCCTACGTCACCCACAGGGATTTACTGATAAGCATCAGCCCTGACCATTTGTGGGCAGAGAGCCAGAGGATGCATCTCTCTCTCTGGCTCTCTCTCTCTGTAACAGTCAGTCCCATGACAAAATTCTTAGAGCTGAGTGCTAAAGACCTTAGTACTACACAGTCAGTTTGAAGTCTGATAAGCTAAAAGTGTTGTGTTCCATAATGGTTCTGATAAAAGCAATAGCATTTTAGATGGAAACTGCTATTGACACTCACTTTCCACATCCCTCTTCCCTGTGGGTTAAAAAAGCCTTGGTTAGAGGGTAATTTGTAAATAGTTAACTGTCCCATCACCTGTGTGCTGGACAATCTGCTGTTACTGCTTCAGGAGTTTCATGTGTGTAAGTTAGTGTCTTGACATGAAAGGTGATAAATACATAGGAAGAATTTACAAGAAAAGGTGATTCATTGCATTGGATGACATGTAATTGGAAGTTACTACTAACAGAATTACACTTTCTGCAATTCTGATGCTGAAGTCCAAGTTCCCATTGAATTTGTGGCACTTGGAGACAGGGTCTCCAGGGGTAACTTGGGTCAGAGAAGTTCATGAGCTTCAGGTCTTCGTGATGGGATTAGTGACATATCCATATATTTGAAAGGAGCAGATAAGCCTCTTCTCTTTTTCCTTCTGCACATGAGTTAGAGGGCACAGTGAGATGTCGCACTAGCAGACCAGCAGGAGAGGTCTCAGAACCAACCTGCCTTGCTGGTACTACTCAATCTGTGGTGATGTCACAGAATCAACCTGCCTTGTTGGTACTATTTGGTCTGCGGGGATGTCACAGCAGCCCGATGACACTGACAGAGAAGTATTAAGCAGGAATGCAAACTTTACTTTCCAAAATGAAGAATGAGGGCATTTTGCCTTATCCCTCACAACTTGACAGAATCTGAAAATTATGAGCCACAGCCACCGTCCTTCCAGACACAGTGACCTTGAGGATGTGTTGGACTGAGGTTAGGAAAGTGAAGGATGGCTCTAGCAGCTTTGAGGAAGAGAGGGAATTCCTTCCCCAACACCAAATGTTCTAGGTTTAAACTTCATCTACATGAGAGAAAAGCCTATGACTTGGCACTATCATGGCTTGCTGGTGCCTTGCTTTTGTTACTTCCTTGTTATATTCTATGACATCTGATGGTCATTAGTGGGACAGACCAAAGGCATGGGAGGGTCAGACCTGGGTGCAGCTAGAATGTGGCACAGACAGGCATTTAATTCTTCAACAAAGTTGTCGATGCCACTAGTTCCTGAGCAAGAAAAATAGGAAAATGCTATCAAACGATGGAATAGACTCTGCATTTTCTTACATTGAACTTCCCCCATTTGGAATAGGGATAAATTCATTTTCAGTTAATCCTTATGTAACCTAATAGTTTCAGTTAAAGAACATTTGTAGGAATACTAAGTGCAATATTTTGACTGGTTAGTTCAATCTGGCAGTTATATTCTGGATCATGGATTTCAGAGGCCAGTCAGCTAAGGACCAAGCTCCTTCTACTTCATAAAAATTGCTGATAAGTAGCTTTGTATTGCAAGGAAGATAATATGTACTGATTCAAGTTATGTTAAACAGTTCTGCATGTTTGAAGCCATATATTTATCTTCAGTGAATAAAATTTGGGGGGGATTCTTTTTCAACAACATATGTTTTTTAAGTTTAACTGTTGTTTTTACACGTGAAGACAATTCAAATTGCAGAAATGTTTCAAGGACTGCACAAACATCTTTTCTCCTATTGCCATTGGAAAGTCAATTTCTAAAATTATACTCTGAAGCCTTAATGTAGCATTGGCTACTTATCAGGAACACTCTCTTCCACACATATGTGAATGCAATGTGAATTATCAGACTATACTCATGTATCAGTATTGGAGCATAATTGACTAATTCTCTCCTGGATTCTATTTGATCTGTCCCTTCACTTGATCAATCTTGAGTTCTATTTTCAGAATACAAGGTTGGAAATAAGATAGAGGAGTCAGATATTTTAGTAACTACTTCATTACCGTCAATATTGCACCCTTTACTGTTGGAGTGGGAGGTAACATAACAAACACAATTATATCTGGAATTCTGTCACCCTGAGATTACACACTTTCTTGCAAGCACATGTTCAAACGGTGCTTTTTAGTAATGCTAGGTGGAACAGTGTATGTAAGAGGTGAAATGCTAGTTGCCCTATGTAAAGCGTGAAGCCTATTCCCAGCTTACCCTCTTTCTCCCAGAGCTCTGTCTCAAAAATGACAAGTCCTATGCTGGGCAATATCAACCAAGGGAGAAGCTGTTCAGGGAAGATTTAGCGTACCTTCAGTATTTGGAACCTTGATGGAGAATGATAAATGAGTTGTGAGGCCATTTGAGAAAGAAACTGTGCAATCTCCTCAAAACTACATAAGCACATCATGGGAAACCATTTATCCAGGGAAAGAGGAAATTTTCTATAAATAATTGTAAAGAAGTTGACTTTGGATTCATGGTAGTTTCAGACACAGGTTCAACCATTCTACACTGGAAATACTCTCTCCTTTACTTATCTTACTTTATTTATTGATTGTAACTTCAACATACTCTTTACTCACAAATTCACATCCTTTCCTTCCCTTCAGTTCTCAATTTCTGTGCTGTCTTGTGTGTTTTAAATGTCCGTGGGAACCCAATGGAACTAAAAATTTCTCTCTCAGCTTGGTTCACTCAGATATGACTCCATCTCAGTTGATGACAACTCCATCACTGCAGTTGAGAAATGTCCCTCACCCCACTTTCTTACAAATATCTATCCCATCAGAATGCACCCTGACGCCGTTCCCAGCATAAACCCAGAATGCCACCATAGCTCTGCACCTTCCCTGACAAGCCCCGAGAATTGTGGTGTCAGGAAGCCCGCTCCCTGGCAATCTCCTCAATAGCAAGCCTATTGATTATTTAAAATGCCTGTATATAAAGGCTTTCAAAAAGTGCATGAAAAAAATGTATGGATTTCATAATGACTTGCAGCAAAATAGTCATACACCTTAATCTATTTTTTCACCAGTTTTAGAAATACTGCTGTAATTGAAAGTGTATTACTATTTTGTGCAAACTGTCCACCCCCAAATAGCTCTTTATCTCTCAGAGATCAAATGCTGAAGTCTTTCTGATGACCCTGAAATCTTAGAAACCCAGCTCAGTAATTTTCTAAAGGACTCTATATCACTTTCCATCTCACTCCTTTTACTCCAACCATGCAGCTGTTTTTGCTGATCCTGAAGTTTGTTGACTAGGTACTTTCAGTTGCCAGTGCCTACGGAATCATGTGGGGAACTACTTCACCCCTTAGCAGTTTTTATGCAGATGTCCCCTCATTGCCACACTACTTAAAATGACACAAGATTCCAACAGAGCCTCTGCCTTGGCATTTCTCTTGCTTTTCAGTTTTATTGTTTTTGTATGATGTATCATCTAGCACATTTTGTATAGATGGAAATAAGGACTCAGTTTAGCTGAATGAATTATAAATGGCAAAGGACAGAGTGATAATTCTTGGGATACAGATTGAGTTGCAATGAAAATGAAGAGCTGATTGCAAAAGAGTGAACAAATGGAGGACCTTCAGGAGACCAGGGTCACACACAGATCACTCAAAGTGACTCACTAATGCACAGTGGCAGTGGTGTGTTGTGTACATGTGTGTGTTTTATTGACATTCATGATAATAACTGGAATGTGATTTTGCAAATACGGTGATAGAGACAAGCAGTTGTATCATGGGACATACAGGTTCCATTTGGGATATATAATTATGAAGGGCCCCCCTCATGGAAGCTAGATCCATTCGTTCTTACGTGTTATTTGGAAATTTTATGCAGGGATATTTAAGGAGAAGGTAACTTCAACCCAAAACAATTTAGGTAATTTGTCTTTTTTTTTTTCCTTATTTGTTCACAGGTACGGTAGTCCTCGTGCAAGTGTAAAAATTCTAGTTTCAATCCCATTTGATTCTATGTATTCACTGTAAACTCATGGTGTGAACGATGACAAAGACAGAGTGCCTAACCATCTCTATTTGAAGTCCCCTGGGACTTGGGTTAATTAATGAGACTCATCCTAAGGTTATACATGATCTATTACTTCCTCTAATTAGAAATAATAATCCTGATCATTATACTGGTTAGCTGGGAAGAAGTAAGATGAATGTGCTGAACTATGATGGATAGTCTTCTTTAAGCAGTGTATGTGTCTCCTGTCACTGAGTTATATGCATACGGAGCTGCATCTCAGGCTTTTCAATAATATATGTAATATTGAAATATATATATGCATATATATGTATATACACACACTATCTAATACATATAGCAAAGCCAATTGAAAAATTCTGGTTCATATTTTTACATTTCCTGAAAATTTTACCCAATATTTATTCTAAAATTAATAATCACAATGTACAACTATTATGCATTTTTTTCATCTTGTGTTAAATAATTATTCAAGCATTAGTTCTTCAATTAAAAATCTATTTTCTTTAGAATAATATGAGGTACTTATGTGTATGGTCCACATAGATTCTGTGCTAGTTTTTTTAAATTTTAAAAGTTATGGTGATGAATATAGTATTGCTTACCAGTATTTATAGGGCTAAGTGGCATATTTTCCCTGTGGTAACTGCAGCTGGAACTTTCAAATGTCATGAAAACCATGAGAAAGTACTATCAGATTAGAGATGAAACATACCACAGAGAATGTCAATCATCTGTGAGTCTCAGTTTGACTAATTTAGCTCTGATAATGTCAAATATTTCAAATTCCTTTCGGATCAAACGTAGCTATGGAACTTATATTTTTGTGCTTGTTTAAAGCTTTTGAAGCATTTGACATGTGCATTTAAATTTGGTTTGACATCAGGGAAATTCAGATATTAGTGTGCCATTTGCAGAAACCATGCATAGAGAAGTTGTGATTCAATGCCTTCGTGGCGCATATTACACCCATATAAAGGTACATGAAGACAAGGGTGGACACAGATCTAGCACCCCTCCCTCCTCCTTCCCCTCTTATTTTGTTCTTTTTGATGATCCTCGTCAATCCTTGCCTCTATCACACATTGACTGGAGCATTGGAAAATTACCTTACTTTTGAACATCAAAATGATCCATTAAAAAATCTTGATTATAACAACGGTATTCCTTTCATATTTGCATTGAGAGCATTACTCAGGTTTATCCTAGGATGTTATTCTAGTATTTAAGATGTACTAAGCATTAACCAGTAACGGATGTTTCCTTTTCATGACGAGAACTGTGAGCTCAAATAGACTTGGATTTAAAAACTAGGCTTTTCCTGAAGTATTTCGGCGCAGAAATTCACCTTAACTAAATGCTTCAACTACTCAAAGATTTATTTTGTATACAAAATGAGCAGGTTTCATATACAAGTTTGAGAACATAATGATACTACTCAACCTATCATTCCTCTTTCTTTTGTTATTCTTTTCTAATGTTTTCAGTTTGCTTTAGAATCACAAGATGAACCCTCCACTAAATAAACAATTCAACAGTAGTAAGTGGAAAATCATTGTTCCACAGGAGCATAGGCAAATGTGATGAATTTGTTTATAATAATCAAATCTCAAAACATCAATTTCACTGATACCTGGTACATGTTTTTGGTACACTGCGTGTTAGTAACCATAAACCAGGGAGAATATGATATTTATTTTGGGGGGACACTGGCTTTCTTCACTCAGGAGAAGCGGTCTCCAATTGAATCCATTTCATTTTGACTGAATTTCATTCATTTCGATAGCTGTGTACTATTCCATAATGTGTATGTATACATACCGATCATGAGCTGATAGACGTATGGGTCGATTCTATATCTTACAGTGGTATACTGAATTCAAATGTTGATTTTGTCCAATAAATATTCTACAAGATCACTTAATTTTTTTTTTTTGCTCTCCAAATTATGAACACAATTTAAGACCTTCACTGACTCCCAAAATGCGTTCTGGTTCACTTTCTTCATGGTTAAATTCTATGCTTCCTGACACACATACAGTGTCCTAAAGAATGCTCTGTTTCTATATTTACATCTAACAATTCCTCATAGCTTTTCTACTCACAATTATTTTTTATATACAACAGCTTAAATCCAAATAGATAGCTTGCTATTGATACCAAAGAATCATTAATTTCTCAGTGAGATAGCCACGGATGTATAGAAGCAATCAGGTCGCAGACCCTGAACCATGAATCATGCTTGCAAGTGAAAAAACAAATCCACCCATAGTAGGACAAAAAATAATATTTGTGAAAACAAAAATATGAGAGCACAGATGCTGAAGGCTGGTGTGTGACACAGTGTTCTAGGGGAAGTGGTGGGAGGGCTACTTCATGAATTGGAAACTGGAAACAGATGTCTAAATAAAGAAAATAGACAACGGGAAGGCAGAAACATACAGATAAAAAAGACAAAGAAATGCCACAGTCTGATTAACTATGTCACCTTTGTGGCTGTTTTAATATTAGAATGAAAACAGAGGAAATATATTTGTCATGTAAAATATCTTAAAATGCACATGGATGGAAAATGTTCTTGATGTCTGAGGTCACAGGAATGCGCCTAGGTTTTTACAATACTAAAAATAAATAACCACCACCCATACGTACTTAAACTGGATCTGCTATACACAAGGTTTTGGATTCTGGTTATGGAAGATGTGGATGAATTTTGATAATTTATTTTTATTATTCATTAGTAAGACACAAAACAACCCACACAAATAGAATTATTTCCCCTTTTCCTCAGGATATAATTTTGTCATCAAAATCACTTTTTTAAATTGCAGCTATTCTAAATATTAGATATGCATTTTAGGAAGAGAGATTACCTACAAATAAATAACACATGAATGAAATTACTTCAAGAAATTTGTAGGAAAACAGAACCAAAGATAAGGGTACTTCAAAACAAAAACCATTTGGAAATTCATTCGGGTTTTCAAAAAGCACAGACCCATGAAGTTTTCAAAGACCTCTCATACATAGCAAATGTTTATATTTCATATTAATTTACCAAAAACTGTTTAGCACGGGGCTTCTTGCCAACTTGAGTTTAACACCATAAATCATTAATCTAACCGGATTGCTGCTGCATCAATCAACTCTAAGAATGAGATCCTGATTAACTGATGAAGATGTTTCTGAAGCAATCTCGTAGCTAATGTGTAATTCAACAAAGATGTTCCTGAATCCCACCTGTAGGCCTTGCCCATCCACAGTGACAGAGTTGGCTCTTTGCATTTTGTTCCTGTCAGTCACTTTGTTTGGCTGCTGGGAACCACTTTTCTCCTTTTTCACGGTTGATTGTCTTTCCTGTAAGAAAAGTGATAACTGTTCTAAAAATAAACATTTTGGGAAAATAGCAACATCACACATGCTGAGTTTCTACTACAAAAGACAAATGATACAGGGTTTCATGATTACAAACTTGGGCTCTGCTTTCTAATTTTGAGTCTTCAAGGTGTAACATGCAAGCTGTTCTTCCCACTGGCTCAATATATTCAATAGCATCCTGTTTCTAGTATTTGCTAAAGATTTGATGTGAAAAAAAAAAGCCAAATTGTAATTATCCCTGTGTGCCCAATTATGACTTTTTTTTAGGGACCATACCAGAGGAGTATTTCCATAATCAATGGAATGGACAAAATGTCCAAGATTATACAGAGCATTAAAAACGCAACTAAATGCATGCAGTATTGAAGATGAGTTCTGATTGCATGATGGGTTTGAAGCTATTATTTCAATCATGAATGGCCAATAGCTTGAAACTCACATTCCACCTAAGGTAATTCCTTTGGTCTTTACATTGAAAAAAAATCAGGAGTGATTTGTTTTGTTTTGTTTTGTTTTACTTCTTCTAGTTCTTGTCTTCCTGTTCTTTTCAACCCAATTTATTTAGGTTTTTTCACTAGTACTCTACCAAGTCAGGATTTACAAGGGAAACTCACAAAAGTACTGAAAACTGCAAAGTATGAAAAGAATATGCATAGATTTAAATCTGTTTTGGCACCCAGATACGCTCTCTCATTTCCCGCCAGCCACCTTAGACACCTTCACATTGAAGTCCTACAGTCACTACTGTTTCAGTGTTTGACACAACTGGCTCGCTCCAGCTGGCTCCCTGAGATATCTTCAATATCTCCTAGGTAACTTCATTCAAACATCAGCCTTTCCAAGGGCTGTGAACAATTCTAGGTGTAGCACAGCTGTTGAGATCTCTCACCAGAGCCTGAACTCTCATTTAACAAATGCCTTTTTTTGGCGGCGGGGGGAGGGAGTGTCTGAAACACCAGTCCTTGGACCTCCATTGCCAGATGACAGGAGCAGTCACTTCTACTCAGTCTTTGCCTGGCTTATTGTCACCATCCACCAATGGATCAAGCTGTTGCCATCTTTGTCTCTTTACGCAATTGCCTACAAGACAACCACACTCAGCACTTTCTAAATCGGCCACGTCAACATGTTCGCTGTTCTTTGATTACACCCTTGTGCCTTGCATTCAATCGTTCTGGACTTTTCCCCTGTGTCTTTGTTGGGTATGGTCCTTACTTCAAGTCTTTGCTGAAGTGTTAGAGAGGCTTTCAAGCTCCTTAGGATTCCTGTTCTCACACTGCTTGTAACAGCAGAAGTGCTGTCAACGTTCCGTAAGAGAAAGCACTTTCTTTATGCCCTATTCTACTTCAAAACCTAGATGGGTATCTGAAGAGTGGACATAGATAAATGCAAGTTAACGTTAAAGCCACTAGTTTTTTTTTAGCAAGTGCCCAAAGTATGCCATCAAGAAAGATTGTTGGGTCATGTTCCAGCTTGATGAGAAAACATGTCCTATTAGATTAGTAATGCCTGCTGTGTGCGCTCAGGTACCGAATGTTAGGGCTGTGTGGGCTGTGGATGCTTTGTTCCTTCAATACCGGGCATTCCTATTAGATACGTGTCCTGAGCTCTACATTTTCTAGCACAGGAATCATTCCAATATCTGTACCTTGAAAAAGGTATTTTGAGTAGCTTTGAAAGCAAAGTGTTTTTTAAGTATATTGGATTTAGGTGCAAGAGAAATCTTTGACGAAAATAAATGCTGATCAGTATAGTCCATTTACGTTGCAATTTCATGGTGCAAAAACACTGAATATATTTTGTGTGGCTGAAATGGAAGGCATAATAAGATTCCTGAAATTCAAACTCTGGTGAGTGATGTGCTTTCACATAAACATAATTTCTGGCAAAAGATCAATGTTTTAAAAGAAAGCTCTTTTGCAAGGTCTAAATTGCACTTTCCCTACAGATATTTGAACATTATAAGGCGTAAGAAGAGTGAATTATAGGTTATTGTTTAAAGTCAGAAAATCTGAATTGAATCACATATCTGCTATCTAAGTGTTATTCAATCCAGAAAGCTTACTCATATGTAAAACAGAGAAGTGGTACTATTTGTCACAGCTGTTTAAAGTTTAATATATAATGTGCAAAGTTAGTAGCATTGTGTCTATATTAGAGTCTGTGCTCAATGAACCCAGCTTATTAGGATTAGCACAGAACAGACAGGGTTCCCCAACTGAATGCTTATGATTCACTGTCATGCAAAGGGTTCGTTATATTTCCAGGGCATCTATAAGCAAAAAATCTACTGCTCGCATTAAGCACATGCTTAGGAAAAGCTCAATGCTCCAATCGGAAAATTCAGAGCTTGGATTAGGAGTACAAAAATATGCCTCTATGTAGTATGCACATATACAGTTTTAAGTGCAGCTATATACTGCTAGTATATATCTTAGTACCTACAAGTATAGGTCTTTGTGTTACTATTTATTAGTATAGGTTTTAGCGTCCTTTAGAACGTGTATTGGTCTCTGCTTGTACAGATCTTAGTATCTATTCATGCCTTTAGATCTATTCAGATAGATTCACAGCGTCCATTCATCTGTCTTACTATCACCTGTCAGTATAGAAATGAATAGCTGTTAGTACAGAATTTAGTAATAGTGAATGTTAATATCTAGTAGTACAGATCTCAGTATCTGTAAATATAGATGTAACTATGTTACCATATGTCTTAGTAGCTAATAATGCATTTTAGTACCCATTTGCATATAGCTGAGTGTCTGTTAGCAACAGGTCTTAGCATCTATCCGTGTAAGCCTTAGTCTCTATGAGCATAGACATTAACAGCCATTAGTGTATATCTTTTTTTTATCAATTAGCATATATCTGAGCATGTTAGTATATATTAGTATTAGTATAGTGTAATAATCTAATAGTATATGTCTTAGGAATCACCATGTCCTTTAGTATATATCTGAGTGTCTGTGACTATATGTCTCCAATCTATTAGTATATCTTAGCATCCACTAGCATATTTCTTGGTATCTAAATGTGCAGATCACAGTATATTATTACTTATTTGATTACCTATTAGTAAAGGTTGCAGTATCTATTACTATGTATACTAGTGTCTGTTAACAATGTTTTAGCTCCCATGTGGCAGGGAAGATGTAAGGCTAGCCTTTCACTTGGGCTGTGTGTCTCCCCACAGGACCTGGGAGGTAGGCTGAACATAGGCTTTGCACTAAGTACTTGGGAAAAAGAAGGACAAATTATAAAACCCTATAATCACTGTGTTTTCACTTGATGAAATTTTTACTTTGGACATTTGGCAAGCATCTTTGCGTGTGTGTATCTTTTGATATAATGCAGCCAAGACGTAATGGGAAAGTTCATGAACTTTTTGCTAGAACACGGGGCACAGAAAGGTGATCAACATGTGTAAGAGTGACGTTCTGGGGATTGATTATTGGGTATAACTTTTTAAACTCCCGAGGAACAGCAGCATTTTGTGCCTTTGCTTTCATTGTTTCTTTTTTCTTTGACATTGTTATTATTTTCTACTTGTTTTGTGTTGATATCTAATAGGATGTTAAAACTATGATTGCAAGCGAAATAGAAGTATACTCTTGCAAAAATGAGAAAAAAAAACAGAAGTAAGGAGAAGGTTGGGACTGGGGCGAGGGATGTAGGCAGGAGGCAAGGTTGGGTGGGGAATATTGCTAAGCTTCCCAATCTGTATTGTGATAAGGTGAAACATGTCCATTTCATATAAATAATTTTTAATAAGTAAATAAACAATTACACATTTAGGTGTTTTAATCCTGAAATGGCTGCTAACACCTGTGGCCAGACCAGGTCTAAGTCAGGACAAGGGAACTCAGTCTGAGCCTACTGAGTGCAAAGCAGGGACTCAGTTCAGGAGCTGCCATCTGCTGCCTGGAGGAGTTTGCTGTTAACAGAGCTGAGCTGGGGGATGGAGTCCAGCACAGAACCCAGGTCCTCCAATGGGAGCCATGGATGTCACAAAAGGACCCTCATGTCAAATGCCCACTTCAAAACATTTATCTGAACACACGCACAAACACACTCAAGCATGCACACATGCACACACGCAAGTGATTTCCTTGAACAAAAATCCTCGTGGACAGAATTTGCAAATTTATTTGCGGCTGAAATTTTAAGAGCAACAGACTCAGAACCATTTCATTTCCCCGGTTTCTGACTCAGTGTTTCATGTGTATTTTCTACTTGTGTGAAACTCTAAGACATTCCCTCTATGCTCTTTAAGCAATAGAAGCTACATGAGCAGGGTGGTTGGCTTCATTCTCCCATTTCCACTGACAAAAAAAAAATGTCTTTCCTTTTTATGGGAGAGATAAAAAAGAGAGGTGAATGGAGCATGTTCGTTTTTGAAACATGTGCTGTCCACATTGGTTTCAGCAGCTAGACTACCTGGACTTACAGAACTCTGGGGTGATATTTAAGGATGTTAATTTTGCAGTGCTGATGTTATTCAAGTTTCAGATAAAAATTGGCCAAATCCCTCCCTTTTAATAGTGGCAACATTTGTCACTGACCCTTTGTGTTTTTTTTTTTTTTAAGTTTCTGGGCTCTGGACTGCAAAAATATTACATAATTTACAATTAAGATGGATTTTTTTCTACTAGATCATTTGTCTTCAGTACATAAAAAGAGTTAGAAAATTATTGCTGAAATCAATAGAAATTATTCCAGCACTGGGAAGAACAGCTCTAAACATCCCATGAAAGATTATGAGACAGATAACTATAAATGTTAAAATACAGCTAGGGGTATCTGAATCTTTTCAACTATCAGCCACTTGTTTGTTAGGCATAGATTTTAAATATACAATTGAGTGTTTCAAAGTTCCGGGACTCCACAAGTAGCAAAGCACATCTTAACTGAAAAATAAATTGCACGAGAAACTCCACCAACCCCCAGAAAAATAGCCTCAAAATAAACAGAGAAGA